GTGGTGGCAGTTGGGCTCTGAGGGTTTTTCCTGAGGAGCTGTTTTGTTTGGCGTTTGTAGTTTTAAAAATAAAGTTTGTTTCTTTTGAYAAGTGGCTCCTGAATTGTGCCCAGTCAGACTGCGGCACCAAAGAAATGAAAAGTTGTGCTGCAGTTGTATACAATGAATCAAAATGTATTCTGCTGACATATATACCTAATTAAAATTAATTAATTAATTTTTAAAAATAAAATAAATGACTCTTAAAAAAAAAAAAACCTGAAGTTGGTGAGAGGCTGATGCAGGCTACATTTTGTCCCATGGATTTCATGTAAGAAAAATAAGTATCTAAATAATAACATGGGCTATGTATATAAACAGGCAATTTAGAAAAATAAGAAATACAAATGGTCAAAAAGTAAAAAAAATTATCAAAATATTTCACCTTCATCTTAATGTGATTCAATATAAAATCTGTCAACATAAAATTGACAAAAGATTACTAATACTCTTGTTTTGGTAATAGTAGAGGAAATGATTGCTCTCACAGATTACTAGCAAGAATATATATTCGGGGTTGTGGCTCAGTGGTGAAGCACTTGCCTCGCATGTGTGAGGCCCTGGGTTCGATCCTCAGCACCACATATGGATAAACGAATAAAATAAAGGTATTGTGTCCATCTACAACTAAAAAATTATTTTTAAAAAATCCCTTCTAGTAGATGATTTGATTACATATCAAAAACCAATAAAAACGAGCAAACACTTTTGACTTAGCATTTCCAATTCTAGGTCTTTGTCATAAAAAAAATTAGATTAATGCAAAGAGCTATACAAAGAAGTTAAACATAGTATTGTTTGCAGGAAAAGTTAAAAACAATATACATTTCCAAAATACATAACTTCTGAATAAATTCCACATATTAAAGCTATTMAAAAAATACTTATTCCTTTGGTGCTGGGGTTGACTCAACAGTAGAGTGCTTGCCTTGCACATGCAAGGCCCTGGGTTCAATCCTCAGCACCACATAAAAATAAATAAATTAAATAAAGGTATAAAAATTTTTTAAAATAATACTTATTCCCACCAGGCACAGTAGTGCACACTGGTAATCCCAGCAACTCAAAGGATGGCAAGTTTGAGGAAAGTCTCAKCAACTTAGCAAAACCCTGTCTCAAAATAAATAAAATAAAATGGGCTGAGGGTGTTGCTCGGTGGTAAAACATCCCTGAATTCAATTCCCAGTACAAAGAAAGAAAAAGAAAAAAAGAAAGAATAAACCAACAACATCAAAAAAAAAAAAAACATTATGCCCATATTTGTGTACATAGAAAAATGGGTAATAGCTGTTACATTTTAAAAGAAGACAGCCTATAAAATAGTAGATAAAATACTAGTTTTATTTTAAAATACATACATATTATATTAGCTTTTCAACATTACAACAAACTACCTGAGAAAATCAACTTAATAAAAAGAAAGTTTATTTTGGCTCATGGTTTCASACCACAGTCATTTGGCCCTGTTGCTTTTGGCCTGTGGCAACAAAGGACACTGTGGTGGTAGTACACAGTGGAGGAGGCTTATTTACCTCCTGGCAGTCAGTAAGCAAAAAGAAAGAGGAGGAATGGGCCAGGGTCCCAGTATCACCTTCAAACAAACTCCTCCCAATGACCTCCTTTAATAGGTCCCATTTCCTAAAGGTTCTTACCATCTCTCAACAGGCCCACAGGCTGGCAACCAAGCCAGATGGTTTTTGGGAACACTCCTGATCCAAACTATAGCACTTAGATGTACTAAAATCAGGATGTTGTTCATTTGGTTTGTTTCTCAGTGATGGGATCACAAATATGATAATTAATTTTTTCCTTTTTTTTATTTTCTAAAAATTTTCAATGTCTTACTATTATAGCCATAAAACTAGTAAAGCTATTTTAAAAACTTAAAGCCAGAAAGTCAGCCTCTTAAAAGTATAATAAAAAATTGAAATATATTTATGACATTGTAAATAAGTACTAATAAAAAGAGTAAAATATATAATATTAGTCATAATAATAAAACTATGTACAGAGCTGGAGTTGTAGCTCAGAGATAGAGCACCTGCCTAGCATGTGTGAAGCACTGGTTCGATATAAATAAATGAAATAAAGTTCCAACATAAACTAAAAAAAACAAAAAAAAACAAAAAAAAAAACTATGTACAATCTTATAAGTTAAAAATTTGGTGGAGGTGGGAACTGGGAATTGAACTCAGGGGGCACTCGACCACTGACCCATATCTTCAGGCCTATTTTGTATTTGACTTAGAGACAGGGTCTCACTGAGTTGTTCAGTGCCTCATTGTTGCTGAGGCTGGCTTTGAACCCACAATCCTCCTGCCTCAGCCTCTCGAACCGCTGGGATTATAGGCATATGCCACTGAACCAGGCTTCGTAAAATATAAAAAACTTGTTCATTGTTGAATATTAGTTGATACATAAAAAATCTGCACCGCTAGGAGCGGTGGCTCATACCTGTAATCCAGTGGCTCACGAGGCTGAGGCAGGAAGATTACAAGTTCAAAGTCAGCCTCAGCAACTTAAGAAGGTCCTAAGCAACTCAGCAAGACCCTATCCTTAAATCAAATACAAAAAAGAACTAGGGATATGGTTCAGTGGTTAAGCACCCCTGGGTTCAATACCCAGTACCCTCCACCAAAAAAAAAAAAAAAAAAAAAAAAAGTCTGTACTAAGACTTCTCTATCTTTGCATGAAATAAACTTAGGTTCCTTATGTAGAGAAAAATTATTTTATTAATGATAATGGAGCCTACAACAATCCTCAAATTCTTAGTTATTTACAACAATAAAAAATATTTTCTAAAGCACTAAAATTGGGTTATATTTTATAGATTCTTCTGGTACTTTCAACTAAAACATATGAACAAAATGTAAAAGGTACTTTCATTAAAAGATTGCRAATCCCTTCTATAAACCTCAGGATGTATAATGCCCAAAATTATGATTGTTAATCATTGTCTCTACTTTAGAAAATAAACAAACATTTGACCCTTCAATGGATAAAGAAGTTAATGTGTTTAAAGATTTAAAGCATATAAAATTTATAAAAATATCCCCTTGAACCAAAGATAAATGCTATTGTTCACTTAGCTGGATAGGAACCGAGACACAGAAAGTTTGAATTAATGGCCAAGCCAGAGAGTCACAGCAGCTGCAGGAATAATACCTCTTTCAAGAACCTGTAGTCTCACCCCAGAAGGTAGACAAAAATAAAAGGTTAATATCTATTTAACTGAAAATTCATTATGTCTCTATAATCCACTGTATTGCATCTTCTTTCACTCATGAAACTATTTTTTATGAGCACAATATTTAACTATTACCCTGGATTTTTCATTAGTTTAGATTTTAAAAGGACTGGACAGCTAACAATAGTCACAAGTAAAAACCAATTACTTCATATATTTAAAAGATGCAAATTTAAAGTGATGGTAAATAGGAAAACTTACTGATTACAAATAACCGTATCAAAATTTATGAATAGGACTATATACACATAATAGGGCAGTAAAAATGTGTTTTATAACTGGAAAGTATCAAATAGATTGCTTGATGATAGGGGGATAAGAAGCTCCTGAGTGACCTTGGAAGCAGATCCCTCAGCCTGTCAAGCCCTCAGAGGCTTACAGTCCCCACCACCAATAAGAGGACAACTTCAGGAGACCCAACAGTCTTTCTTAAGTCCTGATTCATAGAAAGAATGAGATGATAATTTTTTTTTTTTTGTAGCACTAGATACCTGTAACAGTGAAATACAGGTCCCTAGAACAGTCTGTTTTTAAGATAGGCCTGTTCCAGGAACACATACTTCTGGCAACTATTCCACTCCAACTATTGGTGCATATATTTAACATCTCTGGCTTAGATTCTAAATATGAGAAAGCTGGATGTAATTATTATAATTCCTCTATTTATTGTTTCTGATTAGAACGTTGCTACAGTCTATAAAGGGGTGAACGTTCCCCAAAGGCTGATGTGTTGGGAGGCATGGTTCCCAAGGTGAGGATATTAAGGAGGTGGTTGGATCTTTAAGAGATGGGACCTCATGGGAGATCCTTAGGTGTTTGCAGGCCCAGCTCTTGAAAGGGATTAAAGTAGTTCTTGTAGAATCTTTGGTAGTTTCCCTGAAAGGGTTGTTAATAAAAACCTCAGCTGGCCCCACCCCAGCTCTCTGGCTTCCTATATCCTGATTGCTTGCTCCTACTCGGTGCTGCATCTGCCAGGAATGGATGCAGCCAAGAGGCCTCTCACCAGAACTGAGTAGATAACAGACACCAAATTCTTGAACCTCTGAAACTGTAAGTAAAATAAATCTCTTTTCTTCCTAAAGTTAGCTACCTGAAGGATTTTGTTACAGCAAAGAAAAACTAATATAGAACCTAAGTGTGCTCATTTTTCTTAATCCGTTTTCTTTCATTTCCACTTTCTACTCATCCCACTACAAATAAAATGAACCCCTGAACTTCCTAAACTTCGAATCTTTATGTTTATTTTACTCCTTCACTTTTGTTGGGAATGTCCCTGAAGAGCAACAATTATAATTTTCTTTTAAACTTGTCATGCATAAAATCTGATGTGCTTAAGTTGTTGAACAAATGTTTCATTATACTAATACAAGAGGTGAACACATAAGCAATCCTTAGGTTGTGAGTATTCCTTCCAGATTTCTGCAACAGGGTGTGAATGTGGTGCTGGGGAATTGAACCCAGGGGCTTATGCCTACCAGGTAAGCGCTCTACCATTGAGCTACATCCCCAATTAATCCTCTGCCTACAAAGATATTTAGATTGATCTCTTTACTACAATAGCCAGACACCCATACCATAAATTCTTCTCTGTAACTTGCAGAAGACACTTTCTCCAGTGGCCCAACAACAGTCCCATTACAGCAAATGCCATTAACTACTGGGCATTCAAAGGACAGAATAGTACCCCCCCCCTCCTTAACTCTACAAACACATAATTAGTTGGTCTCTTGAAGTATATGCTATCGTGTTTTGTTTGCTACTCATCTCTTAAACATTATTTCTGCCCAAACAAATAAGAAAAAAATTCAAAGTAAATCTYATCTTCTGATTCAATCTTCCTGAGTCCCACCAATATCATAAATTTACAAAAGGTAAAAGTAGTCAAAAATCCAAAAAACTTCCTTTATCACRCTTTACAAATAAGTCCTCTTCACTAACCTGCAGTTGCTGTGAAACTTCATTTCTTTAATGCTAAAACACCAAAAGCAGGTGCCAAATCTAATGCACATAATTGGTAAAGGGAGAAAGCAGAAATCTTGCTCACATTTACTGAAACTTTATAGCCATGAGATCTCGGCACATAAAATTTTTAGTTTCTATGATCGCTACAAATAAAACATACAGTTCTTAATTTCAACATGTTCAGCAAATTCCCAGTCATGTTTTTCTGAGGTTGGTGTGATGCAATGATTTTTAGAATATCAATTTAAAAAATGGGATAGGAAGTCCTGGGGTCTCTTGGAAGGGACCATATCAAACATCACTGAACCCAGGGCTCGAAGGTCTCTTCTACCTGTTAAAGAAGGTAGTGGGCTCCTTCTGCAAGACTCCCGCACCCTGCCCAGGGCCAGGCCAACGCCAAGGGCGCAGAGTCCTGGAAAGGTTGGGTGTCTACGGGATCCAGAAGGTGCCAAAGCCAGAGGGAAGACTTGGGGCTCCGCGCAGACCACTGGGCCACCAGACAGCGCCGGCCCGGAGTGCCTTCCCTCCCCGCCCCTTCAGCCAGGACCTGCCAGGTTTCAGCGTCGGACGGGCCCAGCCTCTGGCTTCCCTCAGTGCGCAGTTTCGCGTCCATTCTGTCCCCTCCCGTCCGACCCCTAGCAGCAGCTATACCCACCCTCAGTTCTCGCAGCTGCAGCGCGCAGCGGCCCCACCCCTGGGTCGGCACCATTGAGACGCCGGTTGCCGGCCAGAGCAGCCCTAGCTTCAACGTCCGCCCAGAGGACGCCGGGAAACCGGCCCTTTTCGGAGCTGAGAGGAAGCGATACTCCGGTGCACGATGGTTGAGCCTGTGGGTGCCTTGAACAAACCACAAACCTCCCTAAAAGAGACCTTTGGACGACAGGGTAGGAGGTGGAAAGTGCGTTCTTGGTTTCCTTCTGTCAAACCTCAGGATTCGTTTCTCCGCTTAAGTGGTTTCAAGTCTTAACCGCTAACCTCCCCACGACGCACCCAAGTGGAGGCTGGGAAGCTGGGGACCGAGAAGTGGCTTCACCTAATGTGGGACGCGCAGTCCGTTGTGGGTCTCGAAGGTGTAGAGATACTTCCAGCTTCTTTCATTGGTCCTTCTGGGTTGTCGTGGAGTTTTTCAAGAGGCGGTGGGATCCCAAGCCTGCTCAGACCTGACGTTCCTCAGTAGCGCTTTACCGCCACCTTGGGGTGTTGTCGATAAATCTTTGCTACTATGCTGGTGGATGTTGGAAGCTAGACTTTTGGACAGTGACGTAGCTAGAACACTTAAGCATGACTACTAAAATGTTTAGGGGAAAAAAAAAAAAAACTGCAAACAGGGCTGCTTGAAACTAACTGGATTCACCAGTTTGTTTGCAGGGACTGCGACCAGGTGCTTCCCATCTCCCTGCTTCGCAGTTTTGGGTACTGCCTTCATCACGGAAACATCTACCTTAGAAAAAGGACCAGCCCCAAATAAAACGCCTCTTACAGAGGGACATTTTTCACCTTTCTTAGCGTTTCTCAAAACAAGTGTCAAATGGAAAGGAAGGGCAGCAGTGGAATAAATAACTTAGTTGAAGGAATGTTTAATCTCAAGCAAATTCCTAGGCTGTCCACAGAATCTCAGTTTCTCAACCACAGAACTTTTCATTGCTTGTCACAGTCTATAATTTGAGTGCTTTTAGCCATGGTAAAGGCACACTTTCTGTCTGAATACAGTTGTTTCATAATAGTCTTGGGTTTCTGGAGCTGAGGGACAACATAGATGACCTCCTGTGAACCAAAGCAGAACAAATTGTTGGTTTTCTGTCTCTAGTCAATTTACTACCTAAAGACACTGATCCATTTACACAACATATACTGAGTGCTGTGTGTGCCAGGCACTATGGTAACAAGGCTACAAAATTACTTTATGGAGGATATTCTAGTAGTGGATATTGGCCATAATGAAGCAAACAAGCTGGGCAGATTGTGGTAGGCACTTACAGGAAGTAAACAGGGTGGATATTAGAGTTGAGAGAAGAGTAACCTGTCAAGTAGTTAGGGAGGTTTCTTTGAAGAAATATTTTTGCTAATATCTAAAATATGAAGAAGCCCAGAGTGAGGAGCTAAAAAGAGAACCTTGTGCCCCTTCAACTCATTGACATGATCACTACAAATCTAGTAATTCTTTTCTCTTCATTGTTTTCCTTTGTTGCTTTATCTTAACTTTAGATATGAGGAATCTGATTATTTATTTATTTGTGGTGCTATTATTTTATTTTTGAATCAAACTCGGGGCCTTGTGCATTCGATGCAAGCATTTTACCAACTGAGCTATATTCCCAGCCCCAGCCTGATCTTTTTAAATAGAAAATTAGAACATTTCTGGTTGTCTGGTAGTATAATCTTACATTCTTTTTAGATATGAGTTTTTGTTCTTTCCATAGGCAAGGCTACAATAAGTACTTTTGGTGAGGACATTTCTGTTAATTCCACACATTTTGCAGCATAAATCTTTCTGTATGTTCAAAAGAAATGAAATCCAATTCATGAGACAGTTTAAATAAAACAGTCTTGGCTGAAGTACTTGATCCTTAGCTTGCAATATTGCCTAGGCTTGCTTGCTTGTTGTTTTGTTTAGATTTAGTTATCTTTTAATAGTTCTTTGGGAGTAGAAAGTAAATAGGAGTTACTGGATACAAAAAATAGTGAATATGACACAAGATTAAAAACAGCAAAAAATTCATAATTTTACAGAAGTTTCATAAATCTGACATTAAATGAGAGAGTTCAAAATAGTTCTTTATTAATAAAATTTATTGTATGTATTTAAAAATTTTACAAGTTAGGTAAAATACAACCAAAGTTAATTGTCAATTCTCATAGTCATGTAGAAGTAATACATGCAATTTCTTGGCTTACTAATAATTTTGTACCAGTCATTTGAAACAACATCCTCAAGATTTAATAATAATTCCATTTTTCACTTTTTAGAGTTTGATAAAAGACAATCAATATCCTGAAGAATTTTGGAAGTTTTTTCCAATGCTACTGATACTTTCTTTTCATTAAATTCTTCTAGCAAGGTTTCTGAAGATCTTGGTTTATAATAATCAGAAGACTGTTCATTTTTCTTGTTAGAAATCTGGTTTAGGATAMCACTATTCTCCAGTAGCACTGAGTTACTTAATTAAGGAGCTTTTCCCCACATTTTAAAAATTACATAAATATTTTTATTTTCAGAAAGCCTGGCTTTCGTATCAAAATATTATTTCTCAATAAGATTACTTGGATTCATAATAAAGTAGGGACTTCAGAAATTAGAACTACCCCCTTATACATGATGAAACACATTATAAAGGAGAGGGAATATTTACATGTGTGTTTGTATTGAGGCTTGGTGATACGGAGGAAATTAATGAAAATCTCAGTAACATTTCATGTTCTTAAGTGTTATAAAAATGGAACAAGAATAGCAATGACAGGATTATAAGCAATCTGTGTAGTGTCTTTTATTTTCTAAGTAAAAGAAATCTAAACTAAAAAAAGGCCTTTCCTCTGTTCCAGAACTACTTTATTATTTCAGTAACATTCAAAAAACCACAAGAGAAAACAAGTTTAAATAAGTGGGGTGAGAATGTACAGAAGGTTTCATAAAAGAAGTCAGAARTAGGTACTTAATAATTTTAATAATTTAGAATAATATAAGTGATAAAGTCCCCAAAGAACACCTTTACCCTAGTTCACTGTTCCTTGTTAAAGTTAAATCCAAAGAAAAGTGTTAACATGATGTACCTTCCATAAATAAGAAAACATCTTAAATATTTGCTGACTCAATAAAGCACTACAATATATAAAGTATGGATTAATATTTCATAAATTATATCCATGAATTAAGCCTAGAATTGAAGGGGATTAATTCTGCAGTATAGTACATTCTTTTTGGGGGTGGGGGTGGATATCGGGGATTAACTCAGGGGCACTTGGCCACTGAGCCATATCCCAGCCCTATTTTGTATTTTACTTAAAGACAGGGTCTCACTGAGTTGCTTAGCGCCTGGCTTTTGCTGGGGCTGGCTTTGAACTCAAGATCCTCTTGCCTCAGCCTCCCAAACAGCTGGGATTACAGGCATGCACCACCATGCCCAGCAGGACAGTACATTCTTTTTAAAGGATACAGTTAAACTTCTGTATCTTTTCAAGTTCAGAAGCAACAGACCTGTGCAAAAAAAAAAAAAAAAAAAAAAAAAACAGGAAAAAAGTAAGTTCATGCTGATTTTTTTTTTTTTTTGGTACCAGGTATTGAACCCAGGAGCACTTAACCGCTGAGTCACATCCCAAGCCCCTCTTTTTGTTTTGAGACAGGGTCTAAGTTGCTTAGGGCCTTGCTAAATCACTGAGGCTAGCTTTGACCTTGCAATCCTCCTGTCTCAGTCTCCAGAGTCACTGGAATTATGCATGTACACCACCATACCTGGCATGCTGATTCTTTTTTATTTATGAAATTTCAATAAGCATACTTGACTTTTTTTTCCAAAAATGTTAAGAATTCTCTTTATATTAGCTTTACTTAGCAGCAAGTTGACTTAACTAATATTTACTGAATGCTTTTAAGGGACAATGAATAAGTCTCCAAAGATTTTGTAATCAAGTATTGATATTTTAAGGTTACAGGTTTTCCTACTAATTCTTCGTACTAACCCGGAATACCTTCTACTCTTTCTCTCTAAAGTATACCTGAACTTTAATAACCTATTAAATCCCAARATGTGACCTCTCACTGAATTTTTACAGCATTTATGTTAATCATATACTTAATTGTAATGTCTTCTCTTGAATATTTAACTTTTTGATCTTCCTACCTAGATTGTCTCTCAGAAAAAAAGATCTTTTAAAATTTTTCTGTACTCTTCATTGGTTTAATGATTAATTTTAGAAAGGCCTCATTTATAGAGAACTCTTAAAATTAGATGGTTTGGGAGGTCCCAAGTTTTTACACAGTTAAATTAGACATTAAAACATAAATCTTTAAATTTCTTCTGGAATAGACTATTAACTTATTTCATTTAGCTTTTACCATGTATGAAAAATAGACAATGAGTATGAGGTATAGGTTTGAATGTATAAAACTAGCAGAACCCCATACATGTGTGTTCTTTTACCTTATGAAGCTAGAATGATATGTGAGCAGTAGCATACAATTACAAATGATGTAAACTTTACTTTCTATAAAAAATTAGTGAGGACATTAGTCTAAAAACATGTTTTTATTCAAGTTACTTGAAAAGGCTATTTTAGCTGGGTGCAGCAGCACACACCTATAATCCCAGTTTTTTAGTCAGCTTTTTCGCTGCTGTGACCAAAAGACCTGACAAAAACAATTAGAGGAGTACAGTTTATTTGGGGGCTCATGGTTTCAGGTGTTTAAGTCCATAGATAGCCAGCTCCATTCCTCAGGACTGAGGTGAAGAAAACATCATGGCAGAAGGATGTGGTAGAGGACACCAAGTCAGGATATGGCCACCAATAAGCAGAGACAGAGACTAAGCTCAGCTCTCAAAATATATACCCCAAAGGCACACTCCCATTGACCCACCTCCAGTCACACCCTACCTCCCTACAGTCACCACTCAATCCCTTGTCAGGGGATTAATGAATTGATTAGGTTAATATTCCCATAACCCAATCATTTTACCTCTAAACTTTCTTTCATTGACTCATACAGGAGCTTTTGCTGAACACCTAATTTAAACCATAACATCCAGCAACTTGGGAAGCTACAGCAGGAGGATCACAAGTTTGAGGCCATCCTTAGCAACTTAGCAAGACCCTGTCTCAAAAAAAAACAAAAAAACAAAGGGCTGGGGATGTGGCTCAGCAGTAAAGTATCTCTGGATTCCCAGTACTAAAAAAGGGAATGTGGATTTATTGGCTTTACTACAATGGGTCATATGTACCTTCTTGCCAGCTTGCAATCTTTTCCTTGTATACTAGTTTATGGATGTAAATGAGAAAGATCTTTGGTCATTTTAAGCATCTGTGGAAAAGAACTTGGATATAACTTACTCCAAAGCCTGCAGACTTATCATCATTGCAAATCACCTTTAGCATAATACAATTTTTTTTTCTGGCATAAGCAACCATAACAATCTTTAATTCAATTGCTCACATGATGAACCAACTTCTTATGAAATATATTCTGCACTCTTTTTTTTTACTAACATCTATATTAAAATGTCCAATTAATAAGCTAATAATGGTGAGGCAGAAAAAACTGAAATATGATTTAGGCAGCTGTTCACTACATAATCTCTTTTTCCTTCAGCCAACTCTGACAAGAAAACAAATCACAGTGGAAATGTCTTATCCTTTGCAAGGGGATAGAGCTACTCCTCAATTCCTTTATCTTATCTCTCTGCTGCTGCTTCCATCCTTCCACCCACAGCTTCCATAAACAATGTGCACTTTCACTTTATAGTATTTCTTGACAGCTATTCTTTTTCAGCTTTTATATAAGAAGTCTGCATTTTACAAATGCTAGCCGTGGTGAAGTGATCACTTTTATAGCCATGGATAATTTCCTTTTCTTCTAAACTGGTTTTTTTTTAAATATTTATTTTTTAGTTGGACACAATACCTTTATTTTATTTATTTATTTTTATGTGTTGCTGAGAATCAAACCCAGGGCCTCACATTGTGCTTGGCGAGCACTCTACCGCTGAGCCACAACCCCAGTCCCTAAACTGTTTTTTATTAATTACTCAAGCAACTTTTCAGCATTAGCTGAAGGATGCATCTGGAAAGGTAAATCCTTACAGACTTGAGATTTTCAAATAATACCTACTGATTTGATTTGATTTGTTCCAAGAAGTAACTTAGGTTCCTAAATTGTTTCTGGTATCCTTTCCCAGTATATTCAGATTATGCCCTCACTGATATGAATCTGCTGAATGACTTCTTCCTGTCGTTTTCCAGTTTAGGAACTTGTATTTAGGTCACATTTGAACTCTATTTACAACAAGATCCATTGATCCATAAAAATCCATCCTATACCCTAGCAGGAATCATCTGCTCCATAAAAACTATCTTCTCACTATCTCCATAAGCCAAAAGATTCTTTTTGCCTCTGCCCTTGCTTGCTTCCTACAATATCTTATTTTTTCTAAATATTCCTTTACAGCCTGGTCCTAGTCCTCCGCAAACTGAAAGGCACATAGAAGGGACTGAAATACTTGATTTGTTATTTGCTAATTAATTTGGGGCAAGTAATATGACAGAAATTATTTAAAAAAATCAACTTTTGCTGAAAGCTTGTTAGTCAACATTTTATTCCCATTAATACTAATCCCCTTACATCTTCCATGAACTTTTGAAATTATCATATGTAAAAGCCTTTCATTTTGAAATTTTCAATGCAAAGTTTTCTGTTCCTCAGATGAAATATGATGAAATATAATAAATTAAGATATCAGATTTGAAATAATTTTCAAGTTTAAAGTATCAAAAGCATTATAGGAGTAAAATATATTTAAAACTAATAAGTTGTCTTGAGAAAAACAGTTTCAGGGGTTACTACTTGATACTTTAATTTCTATATATTAGTTGGCTCTTCTAGACAGATTAAAAGAAATATAAATACCAATTTTCTTCAGGAATAAAAGCTGAAGGATGTGTGAGCATCTCTCTTGGACTAATCTGGGTAAGTCTTCTGCACCATGATGTTACTGTTGTCACATATCTAGAATGAACACATTAAAATAAATACTTGAAAATGAACTTTTATATGTTCTACACAAGTATACAAAAAATGGAAAAATCATTAAAACAATTTGGAAAAAAGGACAAATAAAAAATTAATTTTCTAAATCTTCCTCATTAGACAAAAAGGCAAGCCTTTTCTATTTTACATAAAAAATAAAATTATTTATTCACATTCAAAACAAAGATAACATTTAAGTCAAAATGAAGATAATATTTGAATTTCACTTAAAGCTCAAATTCAAGTATTCAAATTTTCCTTTTGGTTTTTCAAAGTAAATTGAGTTTCCTTAAATTTTATCATGAAAATATATCTACACATAAGACTATGTGAGCATTTGCTTACTAAATTTAAACCAGAAGACACCATTAATATGTACATATGTACAAGAACACACACATAATTATAACTGAATATACAAAACAAATATTGAGTTCAATAAAGTCGAATAGAAAATGAATTCAAGAGGTAAAAAAGCAATTCTTTTGTTAATACTGTCAAGTAAAATTGCTAAAATGTCAAGACTACCACAAGTAGAATTACCATAACTAATAACAAATCACAAAAACTCAAAAAGTATATTCATAAAAACTGATTTCAAGAATCTTCCCAATTTTCAGAATCATTATCAGCTAGTTTAAACTTTACTTTATAGAATATACATACTTTTTGTTAATCATGATTGCAAACCTTATTTCATATTGGTTAGGAGATCAGAATTGGTTAGCACAGTTGACCATAGTCCAATCACCATAGCAAGTCAGTTATGTCTGTTATATATTTTAAAAAAATAACTTAAATACAAGGAAGTGTAATTAAAGCAGAACTTAGTCAGTTATGCTAAATGTCAGCAGAGCTGAACACTGAAGCCTGATGAAATTACTTCATTCATATTATCCATATGGAAAAACTAAAAATGTATAGAACATTTAAATAATGTTTCTATGCTTCCTTTCTGTCACTTAAAACATGAAAATATTTTTTTTTCAGTGCCAGGGAGCAAACCCAGGGTCTCATGAGTACTAGGCAAGTCCTTTACCACATTCCCAGCCAAAAATAATTTTTAAAATTGCTTTTTCAGTACCTTTCATATGGCCCAGGGTGTTCAATTTCAATTAACTCATCTTGTCCATCAGGAAAAGTTAACTTACACCAACCTAACTTGAGACCTTGATTCACCTTAAAAAGCAAGGAGGAAAGGTAAATTTTATCACTCTAAAACTGAAAACAAAAACATAAACAACCTCTTCTAACTTAATTATCAGTTTAAGAAAATAAGTAGATTGAATAATGAAAATTTTATTTTGACAAATATTATATTTTACACAACAATGGGTATCAGTCACCACTCACATAATTATTAAGAGAATAAAAATACTAATCCCTTGTGCTATAATGAGTTATCTTTATAAAAATGACTAATTTTGCCACACTGTTCTGACTTGCTAAGAAATCCAATGAAATCAGTAAAGTCTCTTGACAGATTTGATACCTAAAAAATTTGAGATAATGTGATTTTGTTTTCTTTGTTCTATATTCCATGGGTAAACAACAATAAAAATTATCTTCCAGACTATAGATAAGAAACTATAGTTAAGGATAATGTATATTTCAAAAAAAAAAGCAAAAAGACAGAATTTTGAATGTTTTCACCACAAAGAAATAATAAACGTCTAAGGAAAAATGTTTATCCTGATCTGAACATTATACAATAAAAACATGTATCAAAACACCACACAGTGCCCCATAAATATGTTCAATTTTTATGTCAGTTAAAGATGCTTCAATAAATCTTAACTCTACACAAAAAAAGTAGATTTCAGCTGGGCACAGTGGCACATTCCTGTAATCCTAGTAACGTAGGAGGCTGAGGCCAGAGGATCACACATTTGAGGGCAGGCAGCTTCAGCAATGTAGTGAGGCCCTAAACAACTTAGTTAGACCCTGTCTCAAAATAAAAAATAAAAGGGGTTGGGGATATGGCTCATTGGTAAAGCACCTCTGGGTTCAATCCCCAGTACGAAAACAAAAACAAAACAAAACAAAACACGTAGATTTTAATCTGAAGGACACTTACCTGTCTTTTTTCAACAGAAGAGCTGAAATTCCAATTTAGGGTTACAGTAATGCCATCTACAAAGATAGCATGTACTTTGTCATCAGAGTAGGCAAGAAATCTTCCCATGTTGGGTATGAATGATTCTTGCAAAAGCAAAGGCAATATATTGCTATCATTTATTCCAGATTTCTAAAACCAAGTAAATTTAAAAAGCAGGAAATTAAAGTTATCCATTAACAAGATTTAAATTAACATTAATGAACTCTGAGGCAATTTCCCATTCTGATTCAGAAGTTTAATACTGTAGAATTCTTAAGTATGTTTTAACTTTTCCAGAAGAGGATACCCAAAATAGTCTTATTTCACAAGTAGATTAAGTTTTAACATCTTTATAAAACTATTGTTCTCCTCTACATAAAAAATAGACAAAAATTAGGAAATATGGCAACATAGAGGTTTACAATTCAGTGAGTATGGATAAAAAAAGAAATGTCTGAGAATCATTTCCTCCAAATCAGAATTAAAGAATTTATTTTTATAGTACAATAAATGTAAAATACACATCACATGATTTATACTATGTTTCAAATACAATCAATTCCCAGTCCCTTTCCCTCCATTAAGAGCAAAAACAAACTGGCTAGGGGCTTGGCTCAGAGAGAGTGCATGCTTAGCATGCTCAAGGCCCTAGGATCAATCCCCAGCGCCTCCACCAGCCCCTGCACACAAATAATTAAAAGTTTGATTTTTCAATGTTTGTCAATTAGGTGGGTATTTTTTGAATAATATTGAATAAACCAATATTAATGTTACAAGAAATTTCTCTCACAACTTGTTTGAAAACAGTTTGATCTTAGAAGTATGATATAAATAATAAAACCATTTTTTAAAATCTTGATTTTGAAATAACTTTAATATACCATTTTCCAGCAGCAYATGCAATAGTTATGACTTAAAGAAAGTCTCGTCTTGGCACAATGTTGGAGAATTCTGTGAACATGAAAAAAATTCCTTAAACATTTGCAAATAATGACATCTTCCCATTCTAGTAACCCATCCACATGCCATGTAATATTTTAGATGACAAGCAAATGATTTCCACTGAAACAGGTTTTGAATTCTTTTTTTCTAGAAATCCTTAATTCCCTAGAAAGTAACTACTGTTGTTTTCCTCTATACTAATCTTTCCTAGTTAAGGCTATTCCTTCAATTTTTATCAATAAAATGACTCCATGGAGAGAATTAAAAGGTGTTCCTTTTTAAGAGGTGATAGATTTACAGGTCTGAAAGGTTTAGCATAATCTAAAACTGGTGGGTAAGTAAGTCAACTATTTCTGGGATAACAAATTACAAATTCTGCTCCTTTAAATCTATTTTGAAAATTGCTTATAGACATAAATTTATAAAAATAAATGATTTAATTCAATAATTCATTTTCATTATTCTGGGTGTCACAAATTAAGAGAATGTTAAAAGTAAGTGTACTTCATCTGTAATATACTCTCATAAATCTCTATTAATTTGAGGATAACAAAGAACTAGGAAGTTTTTCAAATATATCATAAAAACCCCAACTTGATTTGAAGAATAATAATGATGCCACACTGACCTACAGTAAAGGCACTTATTTCCTCTAAGCACTTGGTCACCATATATGAATGTTTCCCTATAGTTTTAAAGCCAGAAGTATTCTTGTAATAATATAAATTACCTTATTTTATAAATTATGAGAATAAGGGCTGGGGCTGTAGCCCAGTGGTAGAGTGCTTGCCTCACACATGTGAGGCACAGGGTTCAATCCTCAGCACCACATAAAAATAAATAAATAAAGATATTGTGTCCATCTTTACAAAAATAAAAAATTTTAAAAAATAAATTATGAGAATAGAAAAGTTAACACATCTTATCAAAGACATATACTTTTATTATATCTGCCAATTATTCTCATCTTTAACCAAAGGAAAATGTATCAAGGCTCACAGATGTACAACACTTGGTTCAACAGAATGTGAAGAAATTACCTGGTGGCCTGCTTAATCAGAGAACATACAGAGAACGGATTTCCTGGTCTATCTGGAGGAAGGTTATTTACTGAGTAAGTTTTCTCTTCTCTCTGAAAATTAGTTTAAAATGAAAAATCTCATTAATAACATATTTTGCCAGCCAGGCATGGTGGTACATGTCTGTAATCTCAGTGGCTCAGGAGGCTGAGGCAAAACGATCACAAATTCAAAACCAGTCTCAACAACTTAGTGAGGCTCTTAAGCAACTCAGGGAGACCCTGTCTCTAAATAAAATATAAAAAAGGGCTGAGGATATGGCTCAGTGTTTAAGTGCCCCTGGGCTCAATCTTCATACCAATAATGATTATTATTATTATTATTTGCCTTTATTACCTTTTTATTGAAAATGTTTTTACATAGTAAGAAGGCAGCATTTATTTTAATAGTCTAACACTATAATACCTGTATATTTCAAAGGTTTTCTATGATGCCTTTCCATTATCCAATTTTTTTAAAGTATAGAATTCCACATATACACTCTTTTTATTCAGGTTTTTTTTTTTTTTTGCTGCTGTGATCCAAAAAAACCTGACAATAATAATATTCAGGAGGAGAAGTTTATTTTTGGTTTCAGAGGTCTTAGTCCATAGATAGCTGGCTCCATTCCTCGGGGCTCTAGGTGAGGTTGAACATCATGGTGAAAGAGTGGTGGAGGGAAGCAGCTTACAAGTTGATCAGGAAGCAGAGAGAGACTCCACTTGCCAGATATAAAATGTTTACCCCAAAGACACACCCCTAATGTATACCTCCTCCAGCCAWACCCTACCTGCCTCAGTTACCACTCAGGTAATCCCCATTAGGGGATTAATTCACTGATTGGGTTATGGCTCTCATAACCCAATCATTTCACCTCTGAATGTTCTTGTATTATCTCACATATGAGCTTTTAGGAGTCTCCTACTATCTAAACCATAGCACCRCTCAATACATTCTAATAGCCTATAACTTACTGTCCAATTTAAATCTTGGCTATACATAAACTAATGTAACAAAACTAATTTTCCTACATATTAGCAGAAACTTTATCTCATTAGCCACTCTTTTACCTGAAGAGAAAAGGCTATATAGGTCTTAAAAATAACTATTTTAATTGGATGAATATATCATTTTGTTAAATTTTATTAATGGAAGACCTATTGCTATAGTTGGTGGAAGACAATATTTTTACAGAGTTTTTTTTTTTTTTTTTTTGGGTGTTGCTGGGGATTGAACCCAGGGCATCATGAATGGGAGGCAAGAACTCTACCACTGTGCCACATGTCCAGCCCAGCACTGCAGGTTCTTAAAATTAAAAGGAAAAAACAATTATTATTTTGTTATTCCTTCTGCATTTTCTCTTTCTTAGACCTGCTAGTGTTTCCTAGGGCTTGTCTCAAGGCTTTCTTTTTGACTTCCTGATTTCTTTTTAGGTAATCCCAACAGGGCTTAACGCTATGTCACAATAAATAGTCAGAAGTGGCTAACGTGTGGAGCAGACGCTGTATGACAGGTACTAYGCTATATACTTCATATGGATTATTTCATTTATTCTTTAATTCTGAAATAAAAATTATTAATACCTGGTTTCTAGATGAGAAAACTGGGGCTGAGGGCTAAGTAGCAATAGAGATCTAATTTGAACCACAAGAGAGTGTAGCTTATCCTCTTTACTATCAGGGAAAGCAGATTGGTTTCTAAGTCAGACAGATAATTGCAGGTCTCCTTCTTACTAACTATAATAATGGCCAGGCTATAACTTTTTAAAACAGAATTTCTGATCAATTTTACTTGATGTTATCAAGTTGTCCCCATGAAGGCTGAACCAATTTATACTCCAACCAACACTATGAGAAGCACCCTTTTACCAAACCTTTTAGGGCAGTGATTCTACCAATTTAGTTTTAGACAATTTGATAAGTGAAAAATGGCATATCATTGTTGTTATAATTTGTATTTAAGTAATTTGACATAAGTAGTAAAGCTGGACATGCTTTCAAGTATTAAGCGTTTTTCATTTATATTGCCTTTTCTAAAGCTTAAATGATTCTTAAACTTTCCTCATTTTTTTATCAGGGGCTTTGGTGTGGGGGTTTTTGTTTTTGCTTTTTGGTCTTTTTACTGCTAATTTAGTGTGGAATTAGAATATTTTATTCATTTATCTTTCCCACATTATCTGACTTATGCGATTTTACATATTTAAAATTTAATACAAATTTGAAAATCTTCTCAAATTTCTTTTCTTTTATGCTTTCTGTTTTTCTGTATTTGTACCTTAAGGCCCCTCATATCCAAAGATTACAAACATTATTCTTCTATATTTTCTTCTAACAACTATAAAGCTTGCTTTCTTACATTTAGCTCTTTTTAATTTACCTGGAATTGATTTTTTCGGAGTATGTATTAAAGCAAGAAGCAAAACAATTTTATCCCCCAAAAAGAGTCAATTGTTTTTAAAGCTTTTCATCAAAGCAGTTAGAGAAGAATGGATGTGTTGAACAGAGCTCTGAGAATAAAGCCCAAAGCAGTCCACCACAAATGAAAATCTTGTTTGGAAATTGGGTGTTTTTATCCCAAAAGCTCATGCTTCTAAAGAACATTATATTTGCCTCATTAAAAAAAAAAATCATCACTCTCCCCCTGACAGCTTTGAGTAAAACTGAAACTCCATGAAGATGTTCTATATTTATCTTGCAATATTGCACATCCCCTAACATACAGCAGTCAGCAGTAAGACTATGCATACTCAACTTATTTGCCTGTTGACTTGATTGGACACAACACATTCACATACTTACATATACATATGCATTATTAGTTCATACGTTCATCTCATTTCCTCATTTGTCTCTCTACTAGATTAAGAACTGTTGAGGGCAAGAACTCTTTCATCTTAACCAGTGCGCTTACCAGTGTGCCTACCAAAGGGTAAGTGTTGATGTTTATTGAATAAATAAACACTCTCCTAGAAATAGACCTCTGTAGAGGAGCTGCTCAAATATATACTGAAACATTTACGAATGAAATGATTTTGGGGGTTTACTTAAAAAATAAAACAGGGAATTTGGGGCAGATAGTGGGAAGTATAGATGAACAAGTTGGATAATGGTAACATAAGAATTCATTATATTTGCTCTCTACTTTTGTACACGTTAGAAATTTTCCATAGTTAAAACACATCTCCCTACTGACTCTGATGATTTTATTACTTAAAGACTCCACTCTGGGGCAAAGCATTTTATTCTATTCCTACCTATAAAACAAAATAATGTGATGTTATGGTAATTGCTATAATAARGTAGAYGTCAACTGTCAGATTGGCAGGAAACAATTTAACACTCATCAACAAATACCCATATTATTATTTATGTGGTCAGTAAACATGTTATGTTTCAGTGTTTTCAAAAACAGAACAATATTATTCAACCATCTAGTTGTATGTAAAGATGAATTAAGAGGTCTTAAACAATTACATAGTGGGTGGGAAATCTGCTTTATAATGTACAAATTTATTCATTCACCATAGTATACTGACTTAAAGTTACTGATTTCAGCATTTTCTATTGATTAAATTATATAACAGGAAATTTAGCTTCTGATTTAAACACAAATTGCTTAAGGTATTGAAGAATAGTGGGTTAGAATATAATAAAAATAAGGTGGTTATAACTAACCAGGTGCCAATGCTGATAGTAAGATTATATTAATTTTCCAGAATGAAGAGTTGGAAGCAGTGTTACATAAAAACGTTTCTATATATATTCTGATTTATACCAAAACTCTCTCATAGTTTGCTTACCTCTTCTGATCCTTCTGGACTAGGATAATATGTAAAATAGTTCCCAAAATAGGCTCCCTCTGATTTGAAAACAGATCCATCTCCAGGATAAATCTCTATTGAGTTCACATTTTTATGAGTAAGCCTAAGGAAGAGAAATAATAATTGTTTTTCTAATTGAGATTAAAACATATCTGAAAGGAGTCATCAAAAAAGGGACTAAGCAAAGAAGTACTTTTTTGTTTATATAGAGAAGTGGATCATTTTATATTCTGAACCCAACCATATAAATCAACTTTTTTGCAAAAGATAAATAGAACACACAGAAGTTGTTTATGTATTTACTTCAACAACTAAACTCAGAGTTTCTGGAATTCAGGTATCTTGTCTCATTCTCACAGCATCCCCAATGCCAGTCATTGAGGCTGGTACATAAACAGTCACCAAGCTATGTCTACCGCATAGAAGTTCAATACGACACTTTCAGGACCTGAAAATAAACTTTAGTAAAGAACTAGCATAACCAATACCTGATGGTTGAAATATACCAACTGTGCAGGAAGCTGTCCCTTATAGATGACCAGTTATACCCAGAGCAGCCAGGTACAATCAAAGTATTGGTCATATACTATTTAAAAACTGAAGTTAAAAGTTAATTTTATTAGAACATATATGAAAAATATGTTGTCTGAAGTAGGTGGATCTTTACGTAGGAAATGGAGAGCCCGTGCTCACCAAAAAAAATTATTTACCTTTGCTCTTCCAACATTATTCATGGAAGTCAAACTGTCCATCTGGCCAATAGTAATACTATAAGTCATCAGAGAGGTTAAATAGTAATTGTTGAGTATAAAGGGGAATCACTGGGTAGGATATCATGGACTAGTGCTGGTACAGAGCAGTTACTCAGTGAATATTTGCTTTGAATCTTTAATTTGCTATCGTCTTCTATAATTCCATGTTCAATAGGTAACCTTGTGATATGGCTAATTCAGACAACTAGGTTTTCTGATGCTTAGAAGGAATATCCTAAATAACTGATATGAATATGACATTCACTAACAAAATTGACTCCTGAATGGATTTGGAATTGCTGCAAACATCTCGTAAACATGGTTTTTGTGAGTGGGTCACAAGACCCATGTGAACCAATGACATTAGTTCTGAGACTTATAAAAATGCAAGATGAAACACAGGATTACAGTCTGCCCAGCAAAACGGTGTCCTCTTGCAAGTCTATCTGCAAAGATAGTCCCATCCCATCTATGACACTGTAAATAAATAGTTCTAACTCCAACACAGGTTCCTTACCTATATATGACACCCTTATACCAAACCACTTTCACTACTTCAGGATAGGAATATTCTTCACCAGACTCTCTCTGTGCAAGTGAATCACAAAAATTCCACCTGTAGAGGGTAAAATATAGTCTATTTAATTCTGGTTACTCCAAATAATTGTCTTAAAAGTCAGCAAAATAGTGCCACTGTAACAACATTAATTTCTTGCTTAACTCATTAGATTAAAGTAGAATAAAATATGAAAGTATATTAATGAAGTTTAAAAACAAATCTTTTTTCCATTATTTTCAATTGTATCAGTATTAGATCTCAGCACAATTATATACAAATCAACAGTTTTACTAATCTTTAAAATTTAGCCCTGAATTCAAACAAAGATTTCCTAAAATGTTTATAGTGGGACAGGCATTATACTCTTAGGACCTAAGAACTCAAAAAAAGCAGATATGGTTCCTGCCCTCAGTGGAGATTCCACCTGGGCAGGAATGTTAAATAGTAATTGTTGAGTATAAAGGGGAATCACTGAATGCTATGGGCTTGTACAATGACCTAGCTTGTCTAAGATCTTTTGGACAACTACCTTAAAGAAGTGAGGTTTAGGCTGAGACATGGAAAATGAGCCAAAGTCAGCCAGTTCAGGGAAAGTGCTCCTGACAGAGAAAAGAACAAGTGTAGTGGTAAAAGAGAACTTGAGTGAACATTCTAGAGATTGCAAAAGTTCAGTTTAGCAAGAGTACAGAAAACAAGGGTAAGATAGTGAGAAAGCTGAAGATTACAGATACAGGAAGAGACTAGATCACGGAAGACCGATTAAGGATAATGGTTAAGAAAAAGGATAATGGTTTTCAACCTAAAGTCAATGTAAGTAATTAAAAAAGCATAAAATCTCTTTTGAAACATAATCCTGGATTTTCCAATTTTAAYAAGGTAATCATGACTGAGTCATTCCCTTATTTTGTTTTAAATAACAAATGAGTACTTATATAGACTACCTGGGATCAAATTTCAATTCTATAAGTACTATCTATGTGGCTTTACTCAAGTTATTTAACATTTCTGGGTCTCAAGTTCCTCTACAATAAGGAGATGGTACTAGTACTTACCTCATGGGAGTACTTTGAGGATTAATTAGGTAAAGTACAACAGTGCGTGGCATTTAAGCTGTTTGTATTAGCTTACTCTAAGAGCCCTGGACAGATTCCTGTCCCATCACTTACCACATCTAATTAATTTTTTAAAAGTTTTTTTTTTTTTTTGTCGTTGTAGATGGACAGCATTCCTTTATTGTATTTGTTTCATTTTTATGTGGGGCTAAGGATCAAACCCAGTGCCTCACACATGCTAGGTAAAGCTCTACCACTGAGCTACAGTCCCAGCCCCCAAATTAATTCTTTTAGGGATAGTAACCTTCACTAAACTCTATGTTGCTAGAAAGCAGTGGCTGGGTCTTAAGTCATTTCCCCAGTCACTGTGCTTACCAAAGTATCCAGTGTAGAGTAAGCCTCCCCAAAACATTCAAGGCATGGACATAGAATAAGAATTAGATATAACACCTTTGCTAAGAAAATTATTTACGATCTATTAAGACAAAGATTTGTGGCTGGGCATGGTGGCACATGCCTGTAATCCCAACAGCTCAGGAGGCTGAGGCAAAAGATCCAAAGTTCAAAACCAGCCCTAGCAACAGCAAGGTGCTAAGCAATTCAGTGTGACCCTGTCTCCAAGTAAAATATAAAATAGGGCTGGGTATGTGGCTCAGTGGTCAAGTGCCCCTGAGTTCAATCCCCAGTACTCCCAAACAAACAAACAAACAAACAAATAAATAAATGCAGATTTGTGTCAATTAAATTAACTTTCCTTGTAAGTACTCCCAGATAATTTAGGAAGAAAATTATGCTTATGTAAAGACTAATTCTCATAAAAGCTTTATGACAAATAAACCATTCTTCCATTACCTGTGCAGGTGTGGGGCAGAACAGCTAAGTAACAGGGTCCTGGGAAGAACAGAAACCTCTTTTCTTCTTTCCTCTGAAACGTCAGAAGTTAAAATTCTACTCGTGATATCTGCAGTTTTAGACATGTTGCTAACTTTATTTTGAAAATGAAGTGCTAAAGACAAAGGGTATCTCCATTCCTCTGGACAGGAGGCAACAGACCAGCACTGCTTTACCCATGTGTATACATATGGGTGATTTGTACCAGGAAAAGGCAGCTCTCCCCTTTCTTCACTTCCATTTATACAGTTCGTCTTCCCTAAAGTTTCTTTGGATTTTAAGACCTGGCAATAAAGCTCATTTTCTTTATTCTTCAGTCTTTGTCCTGATAAAGTCCCATATGTAAAGATTTTGCTGTTTTTTTCAACTAGTCCACCTTTTGGGGCTTGATTATTTTTTTCTGAAAATACTACAGATGAATCTGGCTTTTGACTAACTTTACACAAAAAATGCACTGTAAATTCATGCTGAGATTTGGGCAGGCAAAGGTATGCATGACCATCTAAAGATGTTATCTTCACAGTGCCACTCTCTGTACATATCATGTTATCATCTGGATCGAGACTGGGCCATCTGACTTCAGAGATGTCAATGAAGATGCACTGCATTAAAAGAAAGGGCATGGTGAGTAATTTCTGTTAACAGTCATATTTTTCAATACTTTTTGAAAAACTTTTTCTTAGTTATACACAGACACAATATCTTTGTTTTGTTTATTTATTTTTATGTGGTGCTAAGGATTAAACCCAGTGCCTCACACGCATGAGGCAAGCGTTCTGCCACTGAGCCACAATCCCAGCCCAACTTTTGATATTTAAATATCAAAAGTTATTGAGAAAGCTCTTATTGCTTGTTTGTATTTTTACTACTTAGACTGAAAAAATGGAGAGCCTAATATATAGCTGTCTAGAGAATATGTGATAGTTAACATTCTCTCTTAGTAAAAGAGGTAGAAAATACACACAAAATGAAAGGAAAGAAGAAAAAAAAGTACCTTGATTGTATTCAGTGTTAAACATATTTAGTGTCACAGATATTCTGTGGACTGTGCATGGACTATGTTGCGCATAGTAGCCTCCTGAGGGGATAAGTCTGGCACTGGGAACTCCTTGGGGYACTCCCCATAGGGACTGACCACCTGATAGGTGAACTTCTCCCTCAGTCTCTGCCTAAGATCCCACATAGCACCTGAGATGGGTGTGACCTGCCAAGATGTCAATCAACATGCTGACTACAAGACATCACAAAACAAGACTCTACTCTTCTTTTTTTTTTTTTAATATTTTATTTTTTAGTTATCGGCGGGCACAACATCTTTGTTTGTATGTGGTGCTGAGGATCAAACCCGGGCCACACGCATTCTAGGCGAGCGCACTACCGCTTGAGCCACATCCCCAGCCCCCAAGACTCTACTCTTGAAACCTTACCCCTGCCTTTGATGTACCCCCTTAAATAAACCACCACAGCCATTTTGTCTTTGTCTAGTTCAAGAACCAATGTGGACTAGATCTATCAGAGGCTTCGCTTTTGTAAATATATTTCTGAGTGTGTTTTATTATTTGTTAATTATTTGAGATATTAAGATTTAGGGTGGCTTGGATTCCTCTGGGCAGAAGAACCCCCCCAATGAGATGCTGGCTGTCTTCCCCCCAAAATTTAGGTTTAAAATGTACACTGAATTAGAGATAAGTAGATTGGCATATCTCCCACCCTAAAAGTCTACTCTGAAAAATAATATAAATGAGGAAGGAATCTACACTGTGCTATATTTTTTAAAATATATTTACTTTTTAGTTGTAGTTGGACACAATACCTTTGTTTATTTATTTTTTTAATGTGGTGCTGAGGATTGAACCCAGGCCCCCGGACGTGTGGCATACTGAGCTACTACCCCAGCCCTACACTGTGCTATTTTACAATAAAAGCAATCAGAGCTTAACTGGTATGGAACTAGCACAAAAGTCACTTCCAGAACCATTCAGAAAATACAAAAACAGACTCATTCATATCTTAAATTGTTACAAGTGATAATGTATGCTTTTATATATTATCAAAGGGGAAAAGACAGGCTTACTTAATAAATGGTACTGGAATTACTAAATAGCTTTTGGGGAAATGGTGTCTTAGAAGGTTATCACATGGACTTAAAAAATAAGATAATATATAAAGTATCTGCCAGATGATACATGGCATACCATAAACTAAAATAAATTCCCAGTGGCTTAAAGAGTAATTTAAAAAATTTTAACTACTTAAAGGTAAATTGATCCTGACAAATAGGAAAGAGACTCATAACAAATAACTGTGCCTGTTGTGTTTTTTCATCTAACATATAAACAGAGGTGGCGCATACTATCTTAATTAAATGTTTAATTAATTTGACATTTCGGCTTCCATGTATATAAAAACTTAATTTTAAAAAACCTATTGTCAAAAAAGACTCTTGAATTATAGTGCCATCTATGTTACAATGATAAAATAAAGGCAGTATTTATTTTATGGCAAACCTGGTTTGTAAGAATGGTCAGGAACTTTTTTTTTTAGAATTACACTATCTAATTATTCTATTGTAGAACCAGTGGCGAGCTACATAATTTCAATGAATAAAATTACTTAAAAGATACAACGAGAGGCCAGGGATGTAACTCAGTGGCAAAATGCTTGCTTAGCATGAGGGAAGCCTAGATTACATCTCTAGCACTGAAAAAAAGGATAATGGGGAAACAAAACCCTCCAGACTAAGTTAAAGCTTACACCTTTTTACCACTCCTTTGCCACAATACAAAATAATACAATTATTCAGTAGGCAGTAAGCATCATAAAAGCATAAACAGGTCGCAGAAAGATAGTCTGGGGTTATGGGTCAATGGTAGAGCCCACGCTTATGCCTATCATGCCCAGGGCCCTGGGTTCAATCCCCAGTACAAAAAAAAAAAAAAAATACAGTAAATACAGTCTTCCGAGTTAGAGAAGTTTCAAATCCTAACTCTGCCACTTAGAATATTATTCCTAGTTCTTGGCACATATAGTAAACCTTTAATAAATGATGGCTATTATTATTATTATTCCTCAAAATGTAAATTCAAATATAAGCAAAAGAATAAAATTTTTACACATGTAATTACATATTCCTACAGATTAGGCCCTTTGCATTCTATAGCTTGTTTCTACTCCCAAGTGTCCTAGGGAGGATACAAACAAACAAACAAAAAACTGAACATTAAACTACCAGTTTCTAATTATCTATTCTCAAATCTTTATTTATAAAAATGAGGTTTGAGGGACTGGGGCTGTGGCTCAGTGGTAGAGTGCTTGCCTAGCATGCATGAGGCACTGGGTTCAATCCTCAGCACCACATAAAAATAAACAAATAAAATAAAGGTATTCTGTCCATCTACAACTACAATTTTTTTTTAAATGAGGTTTGAAGAAAAATTACCTTTTTTCTTTCAGAAGGTATGATGCTTTCAGATAAAAAAAGGCAAGAAGCTGAAGAGTTTCGAAAATCTAGGGCTCGCTGTAGTTGCTCCTATAAAAAGAAATGTCAGATTTAATCTTTAAAAATATAAAAAGATTTGAAAATCAGTTTAGAATGACAGTAATCCAGAATACTAATTACCTTTCATATTCTAGCCCACTTCAACTATATTTTAGTATTAAAAATAGTAGTTTTATGACATTACTTACTCGGTAAGTGCTAATAACAAAGTGTGTCCTTTGACGAATTCTTTCTGGTTGTTCTAAAGGGTGTGCTGAAACAGGAGGTGACTTTTCAAATAAAAATTCAGAGCCACAGGGAGAAAGCTGCAATTTGGAACCATCAACATACTGGACCTGCACTGAATCATCTTCATAAAGTACCATTTGCACTTCGGCTGCCATTACAACAGGGTAAGAAGTCCTTTCAAGGCGAGACTGAAGGAAATGGAAACCACAATAGCAGATAGTTCTCTTAATGTACAAAAGTTCCACCAAAGTAAATAGATGCATTTTCTAAGAACATAAGAAAAACACTGCCACTGCATTTACTTTTGCTAGAAGGAAAGTGATCTTTTTACAAACACTTTCAATGATCTAAAATTAACATAATTAACAAAATGCCTTGATTAGCTCCTAGGACTTCACTTCATAGACACATAACCTAGAGGGAGAAGATAGCTCACAAATRTTAAAACTGTCTTTATCAGTTTTTGTAGTTTTACTTTTCCTGAGGGTTAATTTTTGTAAACTATATATATGCTCAGGATATAATTTCAAATAACAAGCAAATTACACTGTTGCAATAAGAATGCAGGGAATCATCTAAGGTACATGAGACTGAGAAGCTGAGTCACAAGGAACTATTAGGCCTAARCCACTGAAAAAGAAATTCAACTACCTGGATTCTTGTCCCTAGCCTGGAGTTTAAAAAGTAGTTCCATGACACTAGTGAATCAGCTAATTAAACTTCTAATGTCTTACATTCATCCTCATTTCCTGAATTTGATTTCTTACCTCGAAATGATTATCTTCACTTGTGTTCTCCATACAGGTATAATGGAAGGGCAATTAGAGAACTAGGTTTCATTGATACTCCATATTTACTAGCTTATAGCCCCAGATTGTTTCATTTATAAAATGGGACTAACAGGATTATGAGGATTAAATGAGAAAATACACATGACGGTGTCTAGCACAGTAAAAGTTGCCTTGTAAGAGCTCAATAAATCTTATGAAATATTTTTATTCCTTTTCTAATACTTCCTGCTTCCCCTTCCATATTATCCCCTTGATTTCTCCAGTGATCAAGTTTCACTTGTCAGAAAAAATAACTTTCCATAAATAAGACCTTCCTGTTTTATCCCTATTTCCTATCCATAAACTTCTCAAATGTAGTAAAACTCTTATTGCCCACTTTCTCTCTTATCAATCTTGGATTCATTACAATTCAGCTTTCTCCTCTCCCTCTCTATTGAGACTGTTTCACAATAGTCACCACTGTCTTCTTAATAGCAATGACTTCAGTCTTTATCCTACTAGAGATCTGATTAATCTGTGAAAATGCTGTAAACCTTCCTTTGCACCAAATTTTCCCTTTCRATACTACCACCACCTCACACCCCAGTCTGGGATGTGAGAGAAGTAGAGAGAAGTAAAGAGTTTCTCTCTACTTCTATTGCTCTCTTTAATCCTTTTTTTTTCTTTATTCCCTAAATCAAGGATGCTTCAACCCTGACCTTAGTCCCCATTTCATTTCTTCTTACTATACTTGTTACTTTTAAGCTTCACCCTGACTTTTTAAACCTCACCTCATTTAAACTGCATGTGATATAGCCCATAATCTTGTGTAGACTATGTCTGAACATAAGTATTTAGCTATATGGTCTCTTGAGGAAATCACACAATTCTATTTATTTTAGTTCTCTAGAGAACTTCTGATCTTCCTCCAGAACTTTCAGCTAGCTGCTTGCTATCCTGGTAGGTTGCTTTCCATGTGTCCTACAGATAAATCAAATTCAATATAGACTAAAATGGAGCTTAATCATTCCTACCCAAAGCAGCCTTCTAGGCTCAGTAGTAGAGCACTTGCCTAGTATTAAAAATAAATAAATAAATAAGCAGATTTCTATAATATTCCCTAATCTCACTTTCACTCTTATCTCTTCCCTTAAGTCCAATCTAAATTCAGTAGTCAAAGCAATCTTTTGAAATAAAAATTAGATCTATCATCTGCTGGCTTAAAATTCACTAATACGTTCCACTCTCACTTGGAATAAAATTAAAACTCCTAGGCGTAGCCTACAAAAGGCCACACAATCTTGTCCTCTTTCTCTGTCTCCAAATGTTATCTCCTAACTCCTTTCCCCTTGTTCAGGACATTTAGTCATATTGGTCTTTTTAACATTCTTTAAATAATTTCTTTCCTATCTCAGAATCTTTGTACTGGTCTTTCTGACTTTTCCATGGTTCATCACATCATTAGTTCTTTGTCATCCTTAAGGTCTCAACATAAATGTCACTCCCCAAAAGGCCTAACTTGACCAACTAAGTTAAAGTTGCTCCTAATCACCTCCTATCCTACTTCATATTTTTTCTTCATAGAGTTTACTACTATCAAAAGTGACTGTTTTGCACTTTCCCATTAGGGTATAAACTCAAATAGGCAAGGACCTTTCCTATTTCCAAGGACAATTCTATCTCTGACACCTAAAACAGTATTAGGCAAATAACAATGGTACAATAAATATTCAGTGAATGATTAAAGAATAATCACATTTAAAAATTCTTGCTCCCCTCAAGTTTGCAGTTTCAGTTAATGGCACTTAAAAGTAGATTAGCAATATGTATTTGAATTCTTACATGCCCCTATAACAAGTCCTGTTGATTCTCTCTCTTGAACTTGGCTTTCTTTACACTCGCACTTTTTTTTTTTTTTTTAAATCAACTTTCTCCGTAACTTCTGCAGAAGTCTAGGACCTTTTCCCTGTTTTTTCCCCCTCTCTATTCCATCTCTAATATTGCTGTCTTAGGGAGCTTTCTACAAGTTAGGCCATACTAACTGCTTCACATCCCTTGTTTACATACCTGTTAAATGGTAACAAATGGTAATGTTTCTATCTCTCTCACACACACATACACACACATCCCTCAGATATGTCTCTCTGGTGTTTCAAAAAAAAAAAGTGGTGCTTATTTTCTTATTCCAAATTGCATAAAACAGTTTCTTTTAATGGCCAAGTTAAAAAAAAATAGCTGGGGTTGTGGCTCAGAGGTAGAGCACTTGCCTAGCATGTGTGAGGCACTGGGTTGGATCCTCAGCACCACATTAAGTAAAATAAAGACATTGTGTCAATCCATAACTAAAAAATAAATATTTAAAAAAATAGCTTTACTGATGCATAATTACTTTTAATTTTTGGTACTGGAAATTTAACTCAGTGGTGCTTTACCACTGAACTGCATTCCCAGTCCTTTTTACTTTATTATTCTGAAGCAGGGTCTCACTAAATTGCTGAGGCTGGCTTAGAACTTGGGATCCTCTTGCCCCATCCTCTGGATTACAAGTATAAACCACCGTGCCTGGCTATAACTGCCTTTTTTTAAGGCTTAAATAATCAAGCATACACAAGAAACAATGTGGTGCTCAAAAGTCCCTGACATATCACAAGAACCATAATCTGGCTCCAACCCTCATTTCCACTGTCTAATTACTGTTTGCGTTCTCACACCCAGCATATTACGTCAGAATTTAAGGACAGAAAAAACACAAACTAATCTGTTCTTGACATCACTGGGCAACTCACTTATCAAAACATAGTATCTAGTTGCCGAAAAAGCCTCATTCAAACAACCACAAACGACACACTCACACAGCAGTTCTGAGCTGCAAGTTGTGGGAAGGAGGTCTCTTTGAGTTTTAATTTGTCAAAAAGCTTGAACCGCACAGTGTCCGCGCCTGCCCACGACTGCTTCTTCAGGAATACTTCTTGAATTTAAAAAAAATTCTTGATGAAGGAAAACAATCAGTTGCAGAGGCCTTGGGCCACAGAAGAGGGTTTTGGCTGAGAAGTTTTGTGGTTAAATCCCAGCAGCGGGAGATGGGCGGCGGCGGCAGCGCCAGCGGCGACTACTAGGAACAAGGGGAAACAACAGCGGTTCGAACCTCCGCGCGGGGGAAGCAGCTATACGTCTCCGGAAGAAGAAAAACCGGATGTCCCGCCCCAAGTCCCGGGCCACACCCCGGGTCGCTACCTGCAAAGGGAGGGGCAGGAAGCGCGGGAGAGGGTGGGGTTTCTCAGACGGATATCTGGTCTGCGCCCCTTCGGCCTTCACTTCCGATACGTGACTCGGAAGGGGAGCTGCTTGTACTTAAGTTGGTAAGCAACAGCCTTGTGGCGGTGCAGCCAACCACTGACCAACCACCAGGGTGGTGTCAGCGGAGTGATCCTTATGTAAACCTAAACGACAATTATATCCCTCAGTAAAGCTGATTAAAAAAAAAAAAAAACTTAGAAAACTTGGCCTCTTTCTCATAAAGCATCAGAAAATGTCTTCCAACTATATTTACTAATTACCATTAACAAGAATGTATCGAGAACATACTATGTTTGCCTTTAAATAGTATGGCTGAAAGCAAGCCCCTTTAAGCAGCATTAGGGCGGAGAGAGATCTAAAGGGGAGAGAAGCCTGAAGTGTGTTTAGTGGGCAGGGGCCAGATCATTATGGATTTGAGTTGTGGACTATTAGGAAAAGAGCACGTCTTTTCTGGCCCAGATTTTTGTTTTAAAACAGCGTTATTGAAGTATACTTGTTTATTGCAAGGACTTTAATTTAAGCAAAGGTGGCAAAACCGACTGATGGGAAGACATCTAACTTCCTAAACTCACCTTCATTTCTAAAAGACTGATATGCAAATTGATCTGTCTTCTGTGAAGTATAAAATGTCGAATGGCACTATACAGTGCTTAGTTATATTCCATCCCCACCATTTCCTCTTTGAATGTCTAAAAACCTCTTGAATAGAAATTCTACTAAAGAAGGATTTTATGATTCTACTTGCACTTCTGAAAGAACCTGTAACTGCTTAAGAGAATAGATTGTAGGATGCAAGAGCAATATAGCAAAATCACTAGAAAGCTTTTGAAAAAGCATCAGGAGAGAAAATAGAACTTAGTACCTAGGCAGTAAGGAAAGAGAGCACAGCTCCAAGAAATATTTAGGAACTCCACTCTCTTCTTGGGGATTATTGAACCTGGAACTTGAGGGAGAGATGTAGGAGTACAAAATAATGCCAGGGTTTCTGATTGGAGCAAGTGGAAAGGTTGCAGGGCCACCATTGAGAGGGAGGAATAAATTCAGGGATAGCATGACTTCAATTTTCTAAGTCTACCTGGTGGAAATCGTAAGTTAGTTAAAAGTCTGGAATCGAGATACAAACAAATCTATAGGTTACTGGCTGATAGGTACTAACTGCAGCTACAGGAGAGAATGAACAGTCCTAGAACATTGTAATATGAGAAAAAAACAGTGGTTAGTACTGAGCTTTGAGAAACAACAATACTTACAGATTAGGTCAATAGAAGCCCACAAAAAAAATTGAGGAGGGAAATAAAAAAGAAAGCAAGTTATTATGTCTTAGATAATTAGAGATTTTCAATTTTTGTGTCAGAACTGCCAGAAGACAAGCTTAATTGTTTCCTGGGGCTGGGGTTGTGCCTCAGTGGTAGAGCACTTGGCCTAGCTTGTGTGAAGCCCTGGGTTCAATTCTCAGCACTACATATAAGCAAATAAATAAATAAAGGTCCATCAGTAACTAAAATATATATAAAAAAAATTGTTTACTAAATTTAGTGATGTAGAAGTTGCTGGTGACAATAGTGATGCTCATTGTGTATAGTGGAGAAGGCATAGTGGATTTGAAGATCAAGTAAGAGACAAGGGAATGGAGAAAATGAGATGAGAAGTCTATGAAGTAGGTGTAGAATTATAGTTTGAGAGAAATACCAGGGCCAAATCTCTTTTCTTCATTGGAGTGACATGTTCAATAGATGATGCAGGGTTAGCTCAAGCAGAAGTAATCAGAGGATGAAGGGGTTGTTAAGAGTGGAAAGGGTATGAAGCACTTAAACAGAAATTAAAAACAGATGATTGGCAGCCCTGAGAACCTAAATGAAGATGGTGATCATGAATTTACAGTAGTACAAACCTACAGAAAACATGCTTTACAGCACTGTTGGGTTCCTCCAAGGTTGGTGTTTTGCCAGGCCGACACAATAGGGCAACAGCATACGTGAGCTTAAATTATTTACAACTGCTAAAGTCAAGTCAAACAAAGACCACTAGGCTTAAGCCTATCATCCAGCAAAAATCAATCATTAACTTGCAAGCAAAGAGGCACAAACCAGGGGAACTGAAGATGGTATATTCCACTAGGGAGAGGACAAAGCCATCTTTGGTAAGGTTTTAATTTCTGCTGAAGGATTCTGAGGACATTATAAGGGAAGGTTTTGGGTGGGATTTTGTTTCTGCAGCAAGACTGGAAGCGCAAGCCAGGCAGGGTGGTGCATGCCTGTAATACCAGTGACTCAGGAGGCTGAGGCAAGAGGATCACAAGTCTAGGCCAGCCTCAGCAGTTTGGTGAGACCCCGTCTCAAACAAACAAACAGCGACTCAGGATGTAGCGCAGTGATAAGCAGCCCTGGGCTCAATCCCCAGTACCAAAAAAAAAAAAAAAAAAAAAGACTAGAAGTGGAGATTAACTAGATTTTGGGTGCTGTCATGAGTCAAGAGAAGTTAAGCAACTGGATATCCCAAGTAACAGATGGGCAGAAATAGTTCTCAGGGTTTCATTATTAACAAAGTAGTAGTCACACAAAGTGGAGGTCATAATGGCATTTTACAGCTGCTATAGGACCCTGAAGAAAATGTTTTCTGTTAACTTTGCAGCTGGCTTTGTCCTCCCAACCTAACAGTATAGGTACTTTTCTCTTTTCAGTTTGAGCCGATTTTGTCACCAACAGGTTTGTTACTTTCACACCAAACATCCTCTCTTGCTGAAGGACTGAATTTTCAAAAACAAGCACAACTTAATCCACACTCTTCCCTAAAGATTTAATACTTACAGCACTACCCTGGCTTTCTGACAATACCCAATCCAAAGTGACCTTCCAGTGTCTTATACCTTTCCTCCAAATTGCCCAACAAAAACCCAAATTATATTTTATGTTCCAACACCCTTTGATATATACTTCACAGTGCCCCCAAGGTACATGTTCTCTCTGAATGCAACACACACAACATGTTTAGGTTTCTGGTAGTGTTGGCCAAAGGGCACTGATATGAACAATTCTGAGTTGATGACATGAAAGCCAAGTTAAAAGWTCAATGTTTGTACTTTGTTTCCAGAACACAGCATTATGACACATACTGGCACTCATGTCTTTGCTCACTGGAGACTTTTTACTAATAATTCTGACAGACATTCATACATGATCCTAAAGACATAGCCATTCTAATGGCCAGTAATTGCCGACTCAAGGCCAATCCTTCATTAAAACACTTAAGCAATCCTTGATGACCTTTTGATATGGCTTTAATAACTCACTTAGCACCAAGAAAATGTAGAAGTAATGCTACATGATTACTCAATGCTGTTTTGTTTTGGAATACCCAATTTCAGAATCTAGCCAACATGCCATGAGAAAATCCAAGTGACATGGACAAGCCAAGTGTCAAGTGTAGATGGCTCTAGTCAATAGTTCATCTAGTTGTGGCTTCAAGTTTCTCAGTCCAACCACCAGCCACATGAGAAGATGACTTACTGATTATAATTCTGAGCCGCTAGAGCTATTTCTAGCCTTTAGTTTTCTTACCAAGTCCCGAGATATTATGCAACAAAGAAAAGCCATCCATGTTGTACTCTGTCCAAGTTCCTAAACCACAGATTTCATGAGAATAAAATGGTTGTTTTAAGACATCAAGTTTGGACATCTACCCCCTGGAACTGGCAATGAAACCATAGGTCTTATGCATCCTAGGAAACTGCTCTACTACAGAGTTACATGACAAGCTCCTAGGTGGTTTTTTAAGCGAATATATATAACATATATTGCTCCTGTTGGTAGCTACTATGAGTAGCAATAGATGGTAATAAAATCTAGTGGACAAATATTGGATGGTTATTCATAGAGCTAAGGCAAGTATAGAGAATAAGTGTTCCTTAGTGCTTATAGTACATTAGACCAGGGAATATCTTTAAAGAGCTGTAGATTATGCTAATAGCTAAGTTATAAGAGTCATTTTGAAAAACAAATTCCCTTACAACTTCTCAAACCCTAACTACATATATACTCCCCCTTTACAACAAGGGATCTAAAAGCTTTAATGTATATTTGCTGGTTTTTCAGGTAGAATTGTTACTCAAAAAGGTAGAATTCTTGTTCAAAAAGACATTGAATTAAATCTTTCCTAAGTTTTCTAATTTTAAACCTTTTAGTAAATTATAACAAATTCAGTAACAATTTCTTTAAAATACCAGAATACCACTTAAAAACTTAGAAGAAACAAAACTATTTATTTTCAAAGTCTAATTTTAATTCAGACTGAACAAACAAGCAGAAAAGTGAGAAAGCTAACTGTATTAGCAGACACAGATGTACCAAGTGTAAAACAGTGGGTTATTAACAGAACTATTTACATGCATATTTACAAGCAACCCTTTTATATGTACAAGTTTCAGTTAGTTGAAAAAAGATTTGACATTAAGTAAAAATACTACTTAAATAGGGTTGAGGTGGTACCACATTATAGTAAAAGTATTAGAAAAGTGATCCTCAAGGTATATCAATTACAAAGCAGATGAAAACGTGAAATATCTAGTAAAATTCTCTAATTTAAAAAAAAAAAAGTGAATGCAATCCATGCTACAAAATAAAAGTGAGAAAGCCATATAAATAAAAGCAGAATAATGTTCTAGGCCTTAGGGTAATGAAGTTAGTGAAGTGAAACAAAAAAGAACAATTCTTGAATTAGAATAAATCCTCAGTGAAGAGTGAGTCTTGGTGGTTTAGTTGGAGAGTTCTAAGGTTTTTTTGTTTTGTTTTTTTCCATTAATGAYACTTTTAAAGCCCTTGGTATCCAATAACATCTACATATGTAAGTCAG